CCAGGATCGGCCACCAAATCCCCGGGTGCCTGGGCAGGCCTTCCCGGGACGCCCCCGGCCTCAGTTTCCTCACCCGCAAGCTGTAGTGGAGAGTGAGGGGAAGTGGGCAAAGCTCTCTGCTGCCAGCGAGCGCCGCGGGCTGCGAAGGGGCTGGGGTGGGGGGAGCAATTTCAGAAAAACCGGACCCACGAGGGGCCCCTGACTGGCAGCCAGGCGCAATCTCCCGCACTCTGAAAGTTTCTGAGACGGAGAGCCTGGGCCCTCTCTGCGTGCGCTCCCCACACACCGTGTTGGCTGCTCAGCCCACCCTTCCCCAACCTCCCTGGACTCTCCAGGCCCACCTTTCCCACGTCCACATCACCGTGCTCAGCTCACAGGGTCCCAGCATACAGCAGGCGCGCAATAAACACGGAAAATGCATGTCTGGATCCCCCAACACCGTGGCGTATCTTTGCCTGCCGCTTCCCTTCAGGTTGAGTTCCCGGAAGGAGTCCTGTCCCTTCTCCAGGGCCCCCCCACAGCGCTCAGCGGGCCTGGCCTCCCCCTGGCCAGCACGCAGGGTGGGAGGAGCCGCCGGTTCCGGAGTCAGCCCCAAGCCGGTTCAGGCCCAAACCAAGTTCAAGGGCTCCTTCAGCCACCCCAGGGGCGGATCCTCACTCATTCATTAGCCCTGAACAAAGTTCTTGGGGTTGGGAGCAGGCAGTAAAGGAGGTGAGCCCTGTCTCCAGAGACTAATGGCTGAGAAATGAAACCCTACTCCGGGAGTTTCATTCCCGGGAGTCCCCAGGCAGCAGAATGGCAAAAATAATAATAAGCCCCCCCCCGCCGCCCCCCTCACCCCTGGCAGTTCATAGCACTGTCCTGTGGGGCACAGGGCCGTGGTCAGTCCCTCCTGCGAAGAGGAAAGCAGACGGGGAGAGGAGCCAGCTGGGCCTGGACCCCGTCCTCAGTCCTCAGAGGCCTTTCCCATCCGGAGGCTCGGGACATCCGTCATGTCTCCAGTTGCCTCAATCATTCACAGTGAATGACCTGCCAGGGAGTTTGTCTAAAATTAATAAGAATGTATTAAAATTTAATTTAAAAAATCTAGCATCAATTATTTATGTTGAGTATTTCAGCTCTTCTAAAAGGCCTGTCTGGGAATTTCCCCCCAAGAAGGGCCTCCAGGAGAGGCTGTGAGTTGCCCCGGTGGCAGTGGCGAGGGGCTGGGGGCAGGCAGGGGAGGAAATAAGAAAGGGAAGGGGGTCCCGCCTTGGTACCTTGGCAGCCCCTCCCTTCACTCTGCTATCTCAGAAGCTTGACTCTGATGCTGACTTCTCAAATTCTGCCCAAACCCAGGGCCTGTGGGGTAATCACTGCCCTCCCTCTTAAAAGCCACCTCCTCCAGGCAGCCCTCCAGGAGACCCAGTGGAGCTGTTGGGTTAAAACCCCCACACCACATGTGCACTCCCTGGGGCAGGGCCTGGCTTTCCCCATGTGTCCAGGGCTAGCTCAGCACCTCACCCAGGGGGTGGGGGAGCGTACATAAAGCTCTGGATGTGTGAGTGCTGATGAGCAGTGTGGTTGCGTGTATGTGTGTGTGTGTGGGGGGGCGGCAGCCTTCTGGGGAGGTGCTGTGCCTTTGGCAATGGTCTTGGTGTTGGGGCCAAAGCCCCACATTCAAGTCTTAATACATAAAGCTCTGGATGTGTGAGTGCTGATGAGCAGTGTGGTTGCGTGTATGTGTGTGTGTGTGGGGGGGCGGCAGCCTTCTGGGGAGGTGCTGTGCCTTTGGCAATGGTCTTGGTGTTGGGCCAAAGCCCCACATTCAAGTCTTAACTCTGCAGTTCATAACCAAAAGATCTGGGGACGTTCCCGAGATGCCTGTTGTATGGGTGAGAAACCAAGGCCAGACCATGGAATGCCTGGCTCAAGGGCCCCTGAGGCTAGCTGAGGCTGCCTGTGGACTGAGCAGAGAAGGCTGGGGCCCTGCCTGGGTCTCAAGCCACTGTAGGAGGAGGGCAGGCGAGGGTGGGGACCATGAGTACAAGTGGCCTGTGGGATGCCCAGGGTCTTCAGGGTGAGATGATGGGGCAGGAAATACCTTAGGTCCCCTGTGCCCACTCCAGGACCCCAAGAAAGTGGGATCCAATGCTCTCCTGGCTCAGGTGGAGCACAGGCGGGCACGTTGGGTGCTCTCAGGGGGACAGTCCATCCGGCTTTGGGTGCTGTCCCTCCAGTCCACCCCATAGTCATAGCCCGATGCCTATTCCTGCAACACACCTGTGACCTCATCACTGTCTGCCCTAAACTCACCCAGTGCCCCCTCCGGGGGGCCCAGCCCCTCTGCGTGGTCCGAACCAGTGATCACCTTGGTTTCCCAACATCATCCAAGTCCTGCTACCTCCTCCCTCATTGTCTTTGCCCATGCTGGTCCCCTCCTCCCAAGGCCTGCCCCCTCCCACACCCTGAGATCTACTCTCAGCATCCTTCTGACCACCACGGTCTCATCACTTCCCTCCTGCAACCTGCTTCCTTCCTTATTCCCTGCATGACTCGGAGCTTCAGGAGGGCCACCTGGGTCAGAAACAGGCCTGTCCATCCTTAGTCCACCTGTGCCGCTCCCAGCGCAGCCTTTGACCCAGTTATGGAACTCAATCCTGTTTCATCCTCACTGAGACTTTTTGAGGTGGGTCTTATGATCCCCATTTTACAGATGCAAAAACAGAGCCTCCACGAGGCAACCCCCTGCAGCTTTCATGCAGGAGTGTGATTTGGGGCCGGGGGCTCTTGTCCCTCCTCCCGAGGGTACCTGGGCACTGTGACTGATGCGCACAGTAGGCACTCCCCAGAGGCAACGCAGGGTGGCAACTCCGTGCCATCAGTCAGGCCTCAGGGAGGGGTTGGTGAATCCGAACTCAGCCCCTCACTTGGCGCACACTGGCCACCTCGCTGGTCCCAAGCTCACCCAGCTCAATCCTGCCCCAGGGCCTTTGCATGGTTGGGCCTTCCTTCTCTGACCACTCATCTGAAGTAGCCCCACCCCCACCAAATGACTTCTCATCACACCCCATCTCTGGTCATTTGCCTGTCCTCACCCTGATTCCACCCCAGCACTATAGAGGACCCCCAACAGCAGGACTCTGCTGTTTAGGCCATTCTGTCTATCCCCGGGACCTGGCCTGGAGGCCTCCAATGGCAGGCAGGGGGTGATGGCTGAATGAACGCAGTTGCTCTTAATCCCCAGCCAGAGGCATCTGGCTGTGGAGCAGTCCTACTATCA